CACGCTGCAGCCTATTTTTGGAGAGCAAGGCAGCGAAAATGAATATTCTTGATGAAGGTAGCTTTCATCGGTTCTTCACAAAATCTATTCCCCCTTCCTCCCTCCCTCCCACCCTCTAGATACACAAGCACCATACCGAGGTTTGCATTTTTCATGGCGGGACAGGCAAGTCTATAAAAGGCATGTTTGTTTTTCCTGGCTGTTTCAAATATGTATTTCCTGGAGGACTTCGCATCTAATGGGGTCATCAGAAGCACATGTGCGATTTTCGTCTTTCCAAGTGATTTCTCCTTTCCCCACCCCCCTTCCTGCCGAGCAGCACTGATTGCTGATGTAGCATGTTACCTGCCTGCTCACCTTAGCTCCCGCTAAACCTCTGTTTCCCTCTGCATCCCAGACCCTTGGTGAGGTCACAATCTGTTTCCGTGTGTCTGATGGGTTTTTTTCCCCCTAATGAGTATTTCCTTTTTCTTTTTATCCCTTCTTTTATGTCTGTAGGACGCGGGTCTGGCTGGAGGCAGGAGTAGCTCATTGCTCTCCCGCCCAGCAGCAAGGACGGCCGCCTCCCGGTGCCCCGGGGAGAGGAGAGGGATCGGCTCTTCGGAGCACTGGGACTCTGGAGAAAGGCGAATCTGATATTTAGAATTGGAGACTGAACGTTCTTTCCCGAAGTGCTGGGGGCGAGGGAGGGGGGAACAAACCCACCCTAACCCAACAACCAACACCCGCTCCCGTTCATATAGAGAGGATGGACCTCCTTTCCCGGTGCCAGGAGGGTAAGCTTCGAGCCCCACTCCCCGCAGCATAATGGGAAGGAGCTGATCAGGCAGGCCAGTTCCTAAGTTGAAGTATGTATTTTTCCAAACCCCAGAGCTACTCTCCTTCAGACAAAACCCTCACCTTTTCCTTGTGTGCTGAAGCACTGAAAGTTCCTTTCAGTATGTTTTTCTTGGCTGTGTGAGCCGCAGCGTTTTGATTCACTAAGCAGAGGAAGTTAAAGAGCTCTGCAGTAAGGGCCAGTGGCCAGTGTTTTCATCGCCATTCCCCTACATTATTTGTCATGCTCAACTGAGGGTTTGTTCAAGAGCCTGCTCATACCAGGCTGCATTTGTTTCTCCTAAAGAAGGTAGTAGATTTTGTTTCCGGGTCTGGTAACAGGAGCCTGAGCGCCTTACACAAACATCGCTGGGCAGGCAGGGGCACTTCCAAGGCTTTTCATTCCGGGGCTGGAGCAGCCCCCCTCAAACACACATCGAGGCTTCAGTTAGGCCCAGACTGCTGAGCAAGAAGGTGGAAAGAAGGAACGCAGCTTTCTTCGGGGTAGCTCACAAGAAATATGTTGGGTAGGCGGCTTCTCTCACCTAGGTAGTGTTGAATATCTGCAAAATAGCTTGTATTATCCAAAGTAAAACGCAGCCATACAGTTTTGTAGATGGGATACGACTGTTTCCTAAAGGGTCCTGCTTACCCCAAAGGGCTTGCAGGGGGAAGGCATTTAACCAGCAAGCTCAAGCATATACCCCCCTTCTTATGGGAAAGGCTCTGACGCCAAAACCCTCGCTGCCTGTCCCCAGTAAAGCGACATATGTCCCTTCGGGGTTAGTGCCGCATCTTCAGCAGCCTGTCGGGATGCTCACCCCTCTCGTTCGTCACTATTGCCCATGGAAGGAGGGCGAGCTGTGCCCTGGCAGGACAGCCAACAGTGATTTCCATCTAAAATGTGCAATTTCTGGCATAACGCTTTTCAACAAGGCACCAGGACAGGTAACACTCATACAATAAAACACGGGGTTTGCCAGCCCTAGTACATGTGAATATTCAGTCCCCTGCTATACAAAGGAGTTACTGCAGTTACGGTTCTGAGGTCCGTAAATACTGCATTCATTATCTAATTTTGAGAGGTTTTAGTTTGAGGTCAAATACCACTTTTATGTTATATATTTCTATGTATATATGTATATGTGTGTGTGGGTATACGAGAGAGCGAGCCCATGCTACAGGGGCTCAGCTGTGGGCTTTGTCCGCCGCATCCCGGCCTCAGCTCGGAGATAGCCAGGGGGACTTCCAGGGATAAAGCCTGACGGATCCCCACCGTCTTTTTATTTATGCCCCGTAAACAACCAGCCATGAGACAAGATATGCCCTATGTAACGTAATGCTAGTGAATCATAACTAATCTGTTTAAAACCAAGGATTAGTCACGTCAGTTTCGGCATATTCCTTTATCGGGAACTTTTTCTGTGCGTGGAAAATCGGGGGGATTTGGGCTAATTTACCAAACATCATTACTAAGGCAAGTACGGTCTGATAAAATGAGTCGTAACATGTACGGGTTTTCAGGTTGCATTACACACGTCCCATCATCTGGGCTTTAAGCTGTGTGTGTGCTCCCTTAATGCTAGATCAACCTGCAGATTTAGTTTTTTTCTTACCTAATTGACTTCAGCGACTCGCCTTCCCTTCCTCTCTCCGTGTATGAGTGATCCTCGCTGCAATTTACAGGAGTTATCATTGCCCCTCGTTTTCAAAAGGCCTTTCTCACTCTGTCAGCCCTTCATTTACTTTCCCCGATCGAATTCTGCCTCTTCTGTGCAATATGACCTTTTATGAACCACGTAAACCCCATCCTGTTTTCTTACTGCCTCTTTATGTGTTCCCCATCTTGGCTTTACTCTTTATGTTTTTTTTTTTTTCCTCTCCAGCGGGCAAAGCCTTAAGGCTTTACTTCGGTTTCGAGGCCATGTTTTATTAACCCAGTCATTCTGTTTTCCTTCCCAAACTTACTTCTGTCTCTAAAAGTACAAAAGTATTAACTAGCCAATTAATTCATTCTTTGCTATATTGCACCACTGCATGCTATTTCACAGGGGGCTGGAATTGTCTGTATTCCTAGGAAGCAGCGGTTCCTCTATTTGTGAAATGTTTATTTTCAAAGGATTAAAATTCATAGCTAGAATTATTAGATGCCCCTCAACGGAAATAACAGGATCTGCCATTTAGACCCTAATGCACGCAGGACCACACTGGTATGCTCCCACAGCACAGGCAGCAGCCACATCATCTCCGCTGGCGAAAAATCACCACAAACAACAGAAACAGGAGGAACATAAGCCTAAATATACCACATTGTCTCCTCTGTAACACTGGCTTTGTAACCATGAGTAAGAGAGAGCTCTTTTCCCGAGGCCGGTCCTTCCCGTTACCAACATCCATACCTTCCCTTCCGTAGACTTTAACGGGGCCTCAGAGAAAAGTGCTTTTCCCAGGCACCCACAAACGCGCCGAGGCGCTAATCCAGCCCCAGATTATATCAAATTAGGACATTGCCCGCACAAAACTCCTGCTGATTGAAATTTCAGCCAGCGTCTGAAACCTGGACACGATCTTTGCTGATCTGCACATATTTCTATCCCGCTTGATGCCATATCGTTTTCTCGGTTTATTTTTCACAAGATTTTCATTTTAGGGAAGAAAATAAAAAAAATAAAAGAGTAAGGGGTTGGGGAGAGAGAGTATAAACCCTTTTGCAAGCTCTGTACACTTTTAAACAGATGATTTATCACATTCGGCTTGCAGTAAAGAGTTGGTAGGGAGGGTGTAAGCCGCAGTGGAATCACCCTGAGCTCTTTTCGTTAAGCAAACGTGCAAGTAACTTGCCTGTCACTTTTGTCACCAGAAAAGTCAAAAAAAGAAAGGAAGAAAAAGGATAGGAATAGAGGAACCCCATTCCCGGCATCCCTCCCACAGGTGCTGGGAGGGGAGTTGCAGTCCAGTCATGCAGGACCTGGACCCGGCACTGGTGGCTGTCACTGTGCAAAGGCAGGCAGTGAGTCGGCTTTCTGCCGGGGCCGGAAAACCCTCAGCCTGCCCCGCCGTGCCCTCGGGGGAACGGGTGGGCGACCTCTCCCCTCGCCCCAGGGCCCGGAGCTCCAGTCCTTTCCCGTTCCTTTGCCTCCCCTCTCCGGTACACGCTACTCTTCGGCCCGGGCACTCCGACGTGCCCGACCCTTGCTCGGCGGGACATACCAAACCGAGCAGGGATGCAAGGCACAGTCCCCGGGAAGGGGGGCCCCCGACACCGCCCGTGTGTCCGCCGCCTCTCCTGGCCGAGCTCTGTCTGCCCCGGCTACCGGGCATCCAAAACCACCCTGCGGGTGAGTGAAGCAACCGGACGCCGGGTTAGATTTCTAAATTTTATTATAAAATAAAAGCAGAAATATTTTCCAAAGAATGTATTCACATAATATAAACAATAAACAAAACTAAGGTGAGTGACTTGCGGTTGATACTGTCGTTTAGGTCTAAACTTGAGCAGCAATTCCTCTTTTGTAAAGCCTGCTCCTACCGTCGTTGCACACCGAGGGGAGAATCATCCCCTGTCTTCCTCTGGGGCCGGAGCCGGGCTATCACTTCCTTTCCCACCCAGCAAATGGCGAAAGCACCACAGAAGCCGTCTCTCTGCATAGCATCAGCTACAAGAAGGTTACAGAGTCTGCCTAGAGCGCGTGTTGCTGCTATAACTTGACTACAACTTTTGTATTCTTACTTGAAATTGTACATCGTACACCTGCCACGGATACATAGCTACAATAGGATAATGGGAGCGATGTGTAACTTCCAAACAGGCATGGCAACAGCGGCCTTGCGCTTCCCTTTCCTCCCCACCCCCCGAAAAAGTACAAATAAAAGTTACCAATGTGCCTCTTCCCACACAGACCAGCCCTATCGAGTGACACCACTGAGAGAGGTTCGTGAAGTTAAGGCTGGAAAGAGCTGCTGTACCGAACCGCCTTACAGCCTGCCGTGAAAAATCACAGCTCCTGTCCTACACTGCTGAGACCATCTTTAAGCAACCCTTAAGGCTTTTCACAACATCACTGCCCACAGCCGGGTCTGATACCTTCCTTCCAAACCCGCAGCCAGCCTGCTGCCAAAGGGCACAACACATCCACTAAGGAGTTTGTCATCGCTTTCAAAGTCTCTGATAAGATTAAGGGGGAGAGGGGGGGGGGGAAGGAAAAAAAAGGAAAGAAAAAAGGGAAAAGGCGGGCTGGTGCGAAGGAGGGAGCGTGTACACGGTTTTAAGAGCCCAGATCGACCAGGTTAGATGACATTGGATTGAGGATGGAGTCCTGCAAGCTGTGGTGGTGCATGGGGTCGGCGCTGGGCACGGGGATGGCGCTGGGGCCCTGCGGGTGGCCGAGGCTGTGCAGGGGCTGCAGCCCGGGGTTGGAACTGAGCAGCAGCGCGGGGCTGGAGGAGGTGTGATCCGGGGTCCCTGACGGCGTCTTCTCGTCCTCCGAACTCCCCAAAACTGTCTTATTCCCGTTCATTGACGCCGAGAGCGGGTTATGGCTGTTGGAGTTGGAATTCTCGTTGTTTTCCCTATAGGAAACACAAAAGAGGGAGGGAAATCACCGTGTGGCCGCCGCTCCCGGGAGCGGGAGCAGGGCGGAGGGGAGTTGGGCTCCCGGGGGCGGCGAGCGGCGGGGAATGCAGGAACGGGAGGTTTACAAACTCTGCAAACCTCCAAGGCCTCTTCATCTGGCGCAGAGGTCTAAGGTCTGCCGAGCTTGTAAACAGTCTCCCACTAGCCCAGCGGAAAGTGTCACTTTGCCAAAACGTCATTTTCTGCGTCCAAAGCGATTGCACAGCGTGGGGAGGGAAAGGAGAGGAAGAGAAAGAAAGAAGACATAAAAAAAATGAAATCGACTTTTTAACTTTAAAACTGCTCCTGGAGCTGAAGAGAAGGTCCTGGGAAGGCCGAAGCACGGCGGGTTGCAGCAGGATCCCTCTGCTCAGCAGCCCGCTCTCCCCCTGCTCGCAGAGGGAGGGAAAGGCTTTTGCTTAAGTAACTGGACCATTTCTCCTTCCCTCGCCCCGAGCTTAAAGCTCAAAACATAGCCCAATATGGAAGATCAGGCAAGGAAAGCGACGTAACTCGCTTGTTTACCCGGCCCTCTCGGGGAAGGCTCCGCTCGCCCGCCGCCATCCCTCTGCCCATCTCGGGCGGCCGCTCCCCGGAGCCGCGGAGAAGGGAACCGGCACCCCCGGTGTCACTACCGACAGGGGCCGGCTCGGGAAGGAAGGGCGGTATTCCCAAATTCATCACCGGTAAATACCGAGAAATCGCTGGAGGCTGGCCAAGCCCTTCTAAACGCATATATGTGTGTATATATATATATATATACATATATATATGTATTATTTTTTAACCGAAAGGAGCAAGAGGGGTTTCGGGCTGCCGTCTTGCCAAGGCTAACGTGGCTTTTAGACATAGCCCTGGTAGAAATCCTTGAAACATAGCCCTGTCTGAAATACTGAAGGCATTGCAAGTCTTCTTTTAAACAAAGTTTCTGCGGAAGCTACGAAAGACGCTATCTGGTAGAGGGGCCCTATCCTGAAGAGTTTGGTCGGGAGAAGCGAAGCCATTGCGCTGACGGTTTTTCCTCAATAAGGGCTACAGGATGTGGCTGGAGATACTTGGTGCCAAAAGAATAAAAACAGGCAAGAAAGCTCTGTTTGAACAAGTTTGCTTGAGTGAATGGCAATCCCATGAAAGGTCTGTTTTCCAACGTCTGGAGTGTAATATTGAGTGTATTTTTCAGTGTCAAAAATCTTATTTGTCTCTGGAGACCTGTAAAATTTGATTTCCCCTCCCCCCCCCCAAAAAAAATAAAAAAGAGAAAGGATGGAATAAGTGTAACCTTCATTTCCTTTGGATATTTGAAGGTGAGTCCCTGCTATCAGCAATAAAAAGGGCCTCTTACATCTCGTAAAAACAACACTCGTGAGGACTGGAAGGAAAATTAAAGCGCTAGCACCGTTTGGGGAAAAGCATGGATCAAATCCGTGCGGAGCCGGAACCTGGCGGGCTGCACAGCTGCGCGGCCCTTCCCAAACCGCATGAGGCAGAAACAAAAAGAGAAGTGTCCTTGGAGGCACGGATCTACGGGAGATTCCTAATCCATTAATTAACAGCGCAAGTCATACGATAAGATCCGTATGGACGGGGCAGTTCGGAGACCTAGCGAGGAGTCACTGTGAAGCTAGAGGACGCTTTTCCCTTCTTCGAACAGTCTTCCTAAGTCACAGGGACTACTGACGAAAAAGTCATCCCGATCGCCAAAGACGTAGGCATTAAACTCTGCCGGGCAACTAATAGTGCTTCCACTCCATTTAACGAAAAAAAACCCATCCCAGTTTCAGAATCACCTTCGGTCTAAGAATATACTTGTATTAACATGCATTCGGGAGCACCTTGCCGGGGTAGCGAATAGGAACCGCAATTTAACAAGCGCCATAAGAGGTTGCTCAGGCCAGTCCCTGTCCAGGTCTCCCTCCTCACTCTGGGACCCAATATTAGAGGCAATTTTTGCTGACAACGTTCAGATCCGCTCGTTCCCGGCTGCTTTCCCCGGCTTTCACTCTTTTAACCGGGGAAACCACGCTCCGAGCTGTGCGGGGCACGGAACCCTCAGCCCGGCGCCCCGCGGATCCGCACCGGCAGCCCGAACTCCGACGCCTGGAAGCGGCGGGAGAAGGAGGCCGCGCTGCTTAACCGGGGATAGCGGCCGGCCGTGAGAAGCACCCCCGGCAGAAGCGGCTGCCCCAGGGGCGCCGGGGAGTGGAGGGGAAGGGATCCCGAGATCGTTTCCTGGAGCTGCTTTTGACGGACAGACGCCGTCGCCGAGCGCTCACCTTGCCGCGGAGAGCCCAGTCCCATCCGGGAACGGGGAAGAGCGGCAGGAGCGGGGCGAGCAGCAGGGCCGGGAAGCCGGGGGAGTTGGGGAAGCCGGGGGATCCGGGGAAGCCCTACCTTTCCTTGGCCTCGGCGGCGCGGTCCCGCTGCCGGCGGTTCTTGAACCAGTTGCTGACCTGGGTGGTGGTGAGGCCGGTGGCCTCGGCCAGCTCCCGCTTCTCACGGGGGGACGGGTAGGGGTTGTGGGCGTACCACTCTCGGAGGACGCTGCGGCTCTTCTCCTTGAAGCAGTAGCTGGTCTCCTCGCCGTCCCAGATGGAGCGGGGCAGCGGGAACTTGCGGCGCACCCGGTACTTGCCCACCGCCCCTAGGGGTCGCCCCCGCAGCTTCTCCGCCTCGATGTAGTGCGCCTTCAGCCAGAGCTGCTGCAGCTTGGGGTGGTTGTGCGCCGAGAACTGGTGGCTCTCCAGGATCTTGTAGAGCTCGCGGAAGTTGCCCCGATGGAAGGCCACCACCGCCTTGGCCTTCAGGACGCTCTCGTTCTTGTGGAGGTGCTCGCAGGCAGGGAGGGACCAGAGGAACCGCCCCAGCCGCTCGATGTTGCCGCCTTGCTGGAGCACCTCACAGACGCAGGCCACTTGCTCTTGGGTGAAGCCAAAAGTCGGGAGCATCGACATGGTGAGCCCTGCCCCGCCGCGCACGCTATGGCCGCATAGAGGGGAGCGGCACTGGACGGCGGGCAGCGCCCGGCATACGGGGCCGGCCCCGGGGCGGCGGCGCCCGGCGGGGCCCGGTCGGGCGTCACGGCCGGGCGCGGGGGGCCGCGGCCATCGGCGGCGCCGGGGCCGGAGCGGTCGCGGGAGCCGGGGTAAAAAAAAAGGCGAAGAGCGAAGAAAAAACGAAGGAAAAGTGTCGGGAGCCCGAGCGCGGGCGCCTTTTCCACCCGGCCGCCTCCTTTTTGTAAGTCCAAGTTGCGAGAGTAACTTCGTGCCTCTTTTGTCTCCTATCTGCAGCGCTCGCAGCGGCCGCGGCTCTCCCACCCCCACCCCCCTCGGCCGCCGGTTTGGGATCTCCCTGCTTCCCCCCCACCCCCCTCCGCAGCAAGATCCCACATAATATAGTGGTAAAGCCCTGCTCCCTCGCTCCTCTCCCTCTCGGAGTTTTTTTCCCCCCTTTCTTTCTCTCTCTCTCCCTCTTTTTTTTTTTTTTTTTTTAATAATATTATTCTAAGCTGGCATGAAAAGTGATTATCCGCGCTGTGATTGGTCCGGTTATCTGACCCGGGGACTGCCAGGAGAAGACAATAGTTTTAGTCAAATTATTTGCCATGGTGACGCTGTCAATCAGGGGTAACCCGATCTGTTTTGAGGTGGCTCCCCGGCTGGGTTGACAGATTGCTCAGATCCACTCAGAGGCGGCCCTGCGAGCTCAGATATTAGCTAGCGAGGGAGAAATTTCCGCCGTGATTGACGCTGCAGGCGCCCATCGGGGGAGAGGGGGAGCGTCGGAGCGAGAAGCCCGGGCTCCTGCCTCACGCCGCAGGGCGCTGCGGGACGGAGCCACCGCCCCGGCCGGGCCCCGCAGCCCCGTCTGGATCCCGCTGCCCCATTCCTGCCCCGCCGTTCCGGACCGCAGTGCGGTGGGGAGAAAAACCCGCCTCCGGCCTTTGCAAAATGTTTCTTTCTAAACGCGTTAACTTATACCCCCTCCCCAGCGCCCAGTAACAACTGTTGGAGAGTTTTATAGGGAAGGGGCCTCTCATGTACAATAGAGACCCTGTTCCTGACCTGGGATCCCATTACACGCTGATCATACCTGCCCGCGAGCTGGGAGGGGGCACGATGACACAGGACGGGGACGGGTTGCTTCTCGTTAGCCGCCGGCCGTGCCCCGTCACGCTCCTGTGCGCCGGGCGCTGGCACTGGTGCTCACTGGACGCTGGGCATTTATTTCCACTTGGTTTCCAGGCGTATGTCGGGGTGTTTTGTCCATGAGAGGAACACGCGTAAAAGTCAGAGGCGCTTCTCGTGATTAAGTGGACCCTCATCACCCGAGCGTGCCCACGCCGTGGCGTTTTATGCTACTTGACTGTGCGGGACAGGGACCCGTATCCTTTCCCGGTCCTTTCGGTCTGCACAAAGTGAAAGGCGGAGGGGAGAGGCTGTGCAAGCCGGAAGGTCGGGAAGAATGAGCGGGATTGCTCAGCGGACGCAGGGCTGTGCGGTGTCCCGCAGGAGCGGCTCGAAAGGCGGCAGGAGCCGGAGCTCGTCCGGGTGGCCCCGACCTCAGGGGAGTTGCCATGGCCTTTAATGTACCCCGTTTGCGGAGAAATAGTAATAACTAATCCCATAGGCTTTTTCTGCGCCGTTTGCAGCCCTGACAGGAGCGGTATCTGCAATTGTGGGTTCCTATGACGGCACCTTTCTAGCCGCCCCTGCGCATCAGGGATTTAAGGGAGGCCACAAGAGACCGGGCTGCGGCCTCCCGCCCCGCAGCCTGACCCTCCGAGGACGGTGGACGGAGCCCCCGTGCCGGCCCGGGCGGGGGTAGGGGCCGTCCCCGGAGTGAGGCGAGGCCGGGGCGGCGGCGAGCTGCCCGGCGGCTCCCGGCAAGGAGCCGCGCTAGGGTTGAAGCCAGGCGAAATGCGGCCGGGGAGGGAGGCAGGAGGAGGAGGAAGGTGGGGGCAGCAGATCAGCCCTCGTCCAGCTCCCAGCGTGTCCGGACGCCCGTGCGTATCCATGTCTGTGTCTTCTCGAGAGCACTCCGCTCTGGAAGCTGCGTGTCTTCCTACCTGTCCAGCATTTTCGCTAGTGCTGCCATCAAGGAGCGATGGCAAGCGGGCGGCTCCCGCTCCTGATCCCCCGAGGACGCAAAATAGAAGCTTACTTTGCAGGGCAAGGGAGAGACAGCTCGAATTCGTTTAAAACAAATTCGGGAATGTTGGTGATGGGTCCGTAACCCACTCCCCTACCCCGCTGTTGCCCGTTTCTCCTTCCTTCCCTTTGCAAAATGAGCCCTCGGCTGTTTAGTGCCTTGATGCCGGCCGATTTCTGCAGGATTCAAACTGTGCTTGTTTGTAAACGAAAGCATCCCGATCTCAGAGCTTTCCGGCCGACCTAAGTGGCTGGATAATTCTCAGCCCCAGCTGTAGCGAACGGTCAGGGGACGGGAGAACCGATCCACCTCAAACGTTACTCAGAAACGGCGAGAGAAGAACAAAACCCCTCTCCCATCTCTGTGTGCCGTTAGCGAAGGAGATTATAGCGTAGTTAAGCTCCCTCCTGCACCGGGGACCGCGGCAGCGAGGAGCAGCGCTAGCGGGGGCTGAGCTGCACCCCCTTCCCCTCCCCACTACCGCGCTCAGCCGCCCTGCGTTTATTAGGGGTATACCTGACTCCGCTTCCTCTCCTTCCATCTCACAATCACAGCGGTTGAATCTGAACGGGAGCAGCTGTTCGCCCTATCCGGAAAGATGTCAAAACCTGTTGCATGGACTTAGATCTAAGAAAGTGTCTTCTTAGAACCCTAAAATGTGAGTACGGAATCTATGCGCCAGCCCCTCCGTAGGCGCTTTCACTTTAGCTGTTTTAGCTTTCAGGCTGCAGCTTGCACGGGACGCTCGCTCGCTTCCCGGGGAGCCAGGCAGAGGCAGGGCTAGCCCTTTCCCGAGCACCCTGTATCAGCTCGCTTCCCAGGGCAATGGAAAATCAGCGACATCTGGATCCAAATTCTGTACAACTGCTTTTAACTTTCGGGAAATGAAATATTCCTGTACATGCTAGAAGAGAGAGCGATACTGGCTGCAAAGCCACGGCACACGGGGCGAGTCAAGCTGTACCGACTGGCGAGGGAGTCGAGCGATCGGGTGAGGAGCTTCTTTTCCTTTTTGGAGAAAGAACTCGTTCGCTCCAATATTTCAGCACAGGAGGCGCGAATCGCCTGCTACCGTTTGCCCCCATTCCCTCGGGGGCATTTTGCCTAGTGGAAGGTTTTATCTGGGATGACCGAAACTTGTGCCCGGCCCCGCTGCCTCCTAGCCGAGCAGCCCAGGGGCTTATCCCGGTCCCGATGTGACCTTGCCGAGGGCCCAGTCGGGAAACGCCTCGCCCCTCCGCGCAGTCCTTGCCGCGCACGAAGCAGCGTGGGAGACAGTCAGTGCCAACACAACCATTACAAAATACGAGAGAAATAAAGAGTCGTTTTTTTTTACCGTAATGCTCTTTTTTTTATTAACCGTGGTGCAGCCTGCAGGGGGGAACAGGTCGTGTCTCTTCTGTGGAGCCTTTCACTGCACGGAACTGATTCATGTCCACGAGTGGGTGCCAAAAGAGCTCTTCGGTTATCTGAAACTCTCCTTCTCGGCTGTGCGTCCACGGTCTCCTTGTAGCCAGCAGTCTGTGCGGGAACCTGCAGGCCCGCTCCGTTCCCACTGAAGGCACCATTAAAGACAGGGGCTAACTTACCCAAACTCCTGCCCTGCATCTTTTCTTACGATCACGGCCTCTGCGGCAGCCTTGATCCTTCTACAGGGGTGCAGATACCGATGGCAGGGCCCAGGCCAAACCCCATACAGAGAGGCGGGATGCGGGGAAACCGCTGCCCATGACCCTGCACCCACTCGCAGGGGGCTGCGGACAAGCGTGTCCCTGACAGCGGGGCTCGATTCCCCGCGTGGGGAGGGCAGGAAGACGGAGGGTCCCTCTCCGCCAGGCGCTTTGACTGGCAGGAGTAGCGAACAGATGACAAACCCTGCTATCTTCTCATGCCAGAAAGAAGCACATCTTCCCTGCACATGTCCACTATGGTGGCAAGGGAGAGCAGGCAAATGACAAGCGACTTCAAGTTCTCCTTTATTTCATTTTATTTATTTATTTATTAACTTTATTTCCTTCTGGAGGGAGCACAACACGTTTTCCCCTTAAAATCAGTGTGCTTTAGCGTGGCCGAAAGCCTGCCGCGACTAACCTGCTACTCCCGATAGGCATTTTCCTTGAATCACAGCAACCTTTGCCAGGATTCCTGGCCTACCTGCCCTCTGCCTCCCGAACCCGGGGGGTGTCTCAGAGGTTTTCCCAGGGCACTCTGGGCGCACACGTTTCTCCCTGGCGAGACCCGATCTCTTCAGGCAGTCAAAGCTCACCCGGGGCTTCATGGAGGCCGTTTGCAACCCGGAAAGGCAGTTGTTCCCCCCCGCCCTCCCGTTATTTATTCACGCTTTTATTCATTTTTCGCGTTCTGTTTTAAACCCGGGTCCATCCCGTCACGGATGGCACAGAGACCCTGCCCCGGCTGAAATAGAAAACACGTCGGAGGATCCCTGCGCGTAACTAAATGAAGACAAACAACAATAGCTTGTTGTTCCCTGATTTGGGGCTAAAGGAATAATTCAAAGCTTTTGCTGCTCGCAGTGCGCTGTTCCTCAAGGGGACCGGCCAAGGATTTCAGATATGTAGCGGGTAACTCGATTATGCTAACAAACTCTGCTTGAAAGCAAGCGTTGTGGGGCTGCGGAGCGAGAGAGCGGGGCGCTGGGGGTCGGGGGGGAGCGGAGCCTCCATCCCAGGGAGCGGCCCAGCGCCCGCAGCCCCGCCGCTCCCGTCCACCGGCAGCCGATACCTGACGGCCGGACCAGAGGTGCTCGGATAACGTTTACAAATGAGATGTATTAATTAAGAGATTGGGGCCCGATGCGACGTGGCTGAGCTGGCCTCGGTGAACCTTCCCGCCCCCCCCCTCATCCCAGCCGCCCCCCCCCCCCCCCGGTGAAACAGGACCCCGGGGCGGTCCTGTGTCCCCAGCTCAAGGCGCCGTAACCTCCCGCGCTCCCCACGAAACCCGATAGCCCCCCAACCGGCTGAGGCGGCCGGTCCTGATTACTTTTATGTTATCCCTTCTCAATCTCGGGCTCAGGGTTGGGAGTTTTCACTCACTTCTACTACCAGCACCCTCCCGGGCGTTACCCCCAGCATCGATATGTATTCGGGGTGTCCCCCCTCCACGGTCCACAGCCAGGCTCGGATCCCGCAGAGGGCACAGCCGAATGGGGGGGGGGAGGGCGAGGGGGGGACAGGCTGGTGCCCACCCCCTAACCCCCTCCGCTCCCGGCCGCCGGGACCTCCGCAGATGCTCCGCGGCACAAGGGGACCCTCTCAGCAGACAGCGTGCAGCTT